GCGGATCTGACTACTTCCACTAATATTGTTGCCCGTGATCTGGGACTTTCGCAATGGAGAGTGTGGTTTACAGTGCATACTGCTGGCCTATACCCGTACCATTACACGCCGGTACACGTTATTGAAGAAGGAGACCCCACGAGAAGATTGGACTTTTGCAGATTTTTGCTAAATGCTGACGTAGAAGACCCAGATTTTCTAAGAAATATCTTGTGGACGGATGAGTCCAAATTTAATAAAGATGGCATAACAAACTATCACAACGCCTATTACTGGGCCCCAAAAGAACTAAGGAATTCCAATAAGACAAGAGTGAACGGGTCCCAACGAAGATTCAGCGTGAATGTGTGGATGAGCATTATCTGCAATCATTTGATTGGACCTTACTTTCTCCCGGATAATCTAAATGGGGAAAGCTACGAAAATTTCCTGAGAGCAGACTTGAGTGATTTGCTGGATGATCTGCCACTCACACTGATCAGGGACATGTGGTTCCAACACGATGGCTGCCCTGCCCATTTCAGGAGAAGTGTCAGGGTCTGGCTGGACACAAATTATCCAAACAAATGGATATGACGAGGTGGGCCATTGCCATGGCCAGCAAGAAGTCCGGACCTAACCCCCATAGATTTTCATGTGTGGGGGTGCATGAAAAGTCTTGTGTACAGCGAGCCGAATCTTATGCCGCAATTATGAATCTCGTTACCGGTACAGCCTATCAAAAATCCACTGCTGAACATAGAGGGGATTTGCCATAGTTGCCACGCATTGCAAGCGGCTTTGCAATCGCAGTTGTTTTTTATTTATAGTTTTTAATAGGATGAGGCTGCTGCCCAGCTGCTTGGTTTGTTTTCCTTTGTTGCTTCTTACGACACCCACATGTCACCCATATGGGGTAGTGGATATACTTACACCGCCACTAAACGGTCAAATAAGCTGATCACCAACTATGTTAACTCAGTAAATAATTTAAGTATGAAGGCGAATACTTGGTTTACTTGCCTTGAACATCTAATTATGGATGACAATGGAAGTATGCTACTACCAGCAGTAAATGTCACAATCAATAACCTGGGAGCAAAAGTAGAATATTTGTCTGATCCAAGTATAAGCGTTACGCTATAACTTCTTTGTAAAAAATTCATTACCTGGTCATTTTGGATAATCCTTCCTGTGAACCCTGTTTTAACCACGTGACGATAGGCTAGCTATTTATGGTTATGTATATAATGACAATTTATATATTATTTTTTAATAAAAAATGTTCTTTTATTCAGGATAATAAGTTGAAGAACATTTTGAATTTAAAGAAACTAAGATAATGCATACATATCCAAAATTCACAAATTTCTTTAAAGCAAAATGGTTATTACGGTAGATATCAATAAAGTACTAAATAAAGAAGATTTGGTGAACTTTGTGTACTATAACCTAAAGTGGCCTTGGCCTTCCACGCACTTTATACTATCCACGGATTGTTTGAACTGTGAAGCAGTACAGCAAAATTCAATGCGACCTACACATTTTATACTTACTATGAACACTCATGATATTGTTTGCTTATTAAGAGCTTCTTATTTTTGGTGTGATAATTGTAATTTTTGTATCTACAATCACTACCCCGCTGATGAATGTGAAATTTGTTCATTTGTACCTTAATTTTTAAACACGTTGTCTGACCATAATATTGTAATTACGTCACTATCTAATTGTGATTCGAAATAGTTAAATAACCAAATTTTTCCTGCCAGAGTACGTTACTTTATGAATGTTTAGAGTTTATTAAAGTCCACTGCTGAACAAATACCTCCTTCATAGATTGCCTCATAGAAGGATATTTGACATAGTTGCCACGCTTGGTAAGCGGGTTGACAACCGCAGTTGTTAGTTTTAGTCGTTATTAGGAAGACGCTGCTGCCCATCTCCTGATTTGTTTCTTACGACACCCACGGGCTGATATAGGGTAGTAGACATTCATATGGCGAACACTCACGAGAAAATATTACACAATATGATTTCCAAAAAAAAAACGAGGTCTATACAGTGACCCAAGCATATCTTATATATTTTAATAATGCGGTCTGCACTGGGCGCAGCCAAACTGCATTATCGTCATGTAATGCTATTAATATTAGTCATTGATTTTATATTCATTTGAATTATAAAAATAATTAATTTATATGTTTTAGTTCTATATTTATAAGTATTATTTGTATTACCTGTAACTATTTAAACCCAGGTTTTGATGGATTGAGTTTAGAACATATTTTATTTGCAGGTTTGGACATTTATAGTATTTTGTCAGAATTATTTACGTTTTGTGTCAATTCTGAATATTTGCCGAAAAATCTCATGCGAACGGTGGTGGTTCCAATCCCTAAAAATAAATCCGGTGACCTTTCTAGTCTTAAAAACTACCGGCCGATTTCTTTAGGGACTATTATAGGTAAAATTTTGGAAAAGCTATTACACCCGAGTATAAGCAACAACATTAGGATTGACGACACACAGTTTGACCCAGAAAGACCGTGGATCTATTGAGATACTGGTACGGGAACCAGACAAACTTTGTGAAATGGGGCGACGCCATCTCTAACGATTATACATTAAAGTGTGGCGTACGTCAAGGTGGGCTGACCTCTTCGGATCTATTTAGCTTATACGTAAACGACCTGATTGAGGAACTTAGAAGTACAAAAATGGGTTGTCACATGGGTACAATTTGTCTGAATATTCTCAGCGACGCTGACGACATGGTACTACTGAGTCCCTCAATCAGGGGGACTTAGAAAGTTATTAGCCATATGCGAGCATTATGTGCGGGATCATGGCCTGAAGTATAATGTTAATAAAACGCAGATGATGGTGCTTCACTCGGGCAGAGGCCCGGAGAGGATTCCGTTAGCATTTCTGGATGGTGAAGCTGTTGCAAGAGTGAGTCTATTCAAATACCTGGGGCATATCCTGACTGAGAATTTGTCTGATAACTACGATATAGAACGAGAAAGGAGGGCTCTAGCTGTGCGGTGTAATATGCCCGCACGCCGGTTTGAGCGGTGCAGTCTCAAGGCAAGGCTGACCCTGTTTAGAGCATATTGTCAATGCTTCTATACTTGTCAGCTTTGGTTGGACAGTACAAAAAATGCACGTATCAGCATTAAGGTGATATCAGACGGTTCATTTTTTGTTCATTTTCACCTTTCATTCGGTATATTTCACTCGAAATGAAATGTCTGAACAAAAAATGAAACACGAGTGCCGAATGAATTCATTAGTGAACCGATCCAACAGTGTTGGATATTGGCATCCGGTATCTTTCATTCCCACTCCGAATGAACGAGAAATGAACGGTCTGAACACTGAGAGAACGTTCATTCGGATTCGGCCATTTTGTTTCGAGTCCTGTAGCCGACGGACATCACGTTGTCGACGAAGTTATATTTTTTTCTGTGTGTTATTATATTGTTTCCATGCGGCAAAATGGTGTTCAAGTGGAACGATCAAAATACATTACTTTTTTTGGAGAACTTTAAAAATTATCATTGCCTTTGGAACCACAAAATTGATGAATACAAAGACCGAACAATGCGGGCAAACTCTATAAAATCTCTAATCAGTGATTTAAACTTAGAGATTACTGAAGAAGATATTAAACATAAAATAAAAACGATAAGAACCCGGTAGCGTAGGGCATGACCTGTCACCCATGTTTAGCGTCCAAACGGGCGTAAAACAGGGTTGTGTCATGTCTTCCTGGCTGTTCATACTGTATCTCGACAGCTGTTTACAAAAGCTGAAAGATAGCTGTTTGGGTGTGAAATTGGGTGACATAAAAGTAAATTGTCTGCTGTATGCTGATGATGCAGTGCTTATTGCACCATCAGAGGCAGAACTGCAGGCATTAGTCACGTGTATGAAAGAGGAATGTGAAATTAAAGGTCTCCGTTTGAACGCTAATAAAACTAAGGTTCTGGTATTTGAAAGGGACGAAGAGAGAACGAAGTGTGAAATATGGGTAAATCAGGAATGTCTAGAACAAGTAAATGAAATTGTATACTTGGGGAGTGCTTTTAGCCGGGATGGAAGATGTGATTTAGATGTGGACAGGCGTGTCGCTGCCGGGAACAAAGTCAATGGTGCCCTGACTTCGTTAGTCAAAAGGCAAGGCGTAGTGAAGAGTGCACGCCTTGCAATACATAACGCAGTGTTGGTACCGACTTTGTTATATGGCAGCGAAACCTGGGTATGCCAGAAGAAGCATAAAAGCAAGTTGAATGCAGTGGAGATGCGATCTCTTCGTAAAATGTGCGGCGTTACCATGGCCGACCGAAAGCGAAACGAAGAGATTCGCAATATGGCAGGTTTGAAAGATGACCTTATCACAAAAATTGATAAGGGCGTGCTTCGGTGGTTTGGGCACGTTGAGCGAATGAGTGAAGACCGAATGGTGAAGAAAATATATAGCGCGAAAGTTAATATTAAAAGGTGTCGAGGTAGACCGAGACTAACTTTCGAAGACCATGTGAGCAAATTGCTCGAAGAGGGTAGGGTCAAGATACCTAGACGTGCATGTATGAAGAAGATAATGAATCTGAAAGAAGCGAAAGAGGTATGTAAGGATCGTGACACTTGGCGATCTGTTCTCTCTGGCTACCCCGTCAGGGATTGTGCGTGAAGATAAGTAAGTATACAACAGAATTAATTAAAATAAAGCAGTCTACTAAAAGCGGTTGCTCTTCTGACGATGTCTATGTACCGACCCTGTACTGGTTTAAACATGCAGAATTTAAAAGCAGTGTATGCGTCCCACGGCAGAGTACATCAAGTCTCGTAAGTAGAATCTTTTATCAATCCATACTAATCCATATCCTAGTAACTCTGTCTGTCTGTTCGATAAGCGACCACTACGTGAACAGAAGCTAGGTAGGTACCTACTTAATACTTATACTCAAACAAAAACAACGTATATGAATTGTATAGGTTTATTCAGTATTATTACATCATATTCTTCTTATCATGTTCCATTGCCATGATATAGTGCATGAAGTGACGAACTTTTCTGCATATACGTCACGTACGCGGCGGGCATTTTCACTATAATTTCTTGCATTGGTTGGTCGTAAATCGCTTAATGCTAAAGATGGTACTTCTCGCCATTCTCCAGGTACAATGGACCCTGTGACCCAATCCTCAGTTTCCAGTGATCGTTGTTGCACGTAGTCCACTGTAGTTTTTCTGAGCCAATTATGTAATGCACACGTCGTTTTAACAAGTTGTTCAACTTTTTGCACTGACAATGGAATCGCCTTTTCATAGATTCGAAATTTTGATACTAATATTCCAAAAGAGTTTTCGACCACTCGTCGAGCTCTTGACAGCCGATAGTTAAATATTTTTTGTTTATCGCCAAACTCTCCTCTAGTATTATATGGTTTCAAAACATCCGTCCGCAAAGGAAAGGCATCATCTGCGACGATTACGCCTTCCTTTGAGAAATTTAGAAGATTCGACAACAAAGCTTCATTCAGTGTTGATTTATTAAAGACGGATGCATCATTTGCCCTTCCGTTTGTCCCAACATCTATATAAATAAAATTATAATTCGCATCTACTACTGCAAATAGATGAATACAAAAATTCTTTTTGTAGTCGAAATATTCAGAGCCTGATCTTCCTGGGCATCTTATATTCACCAATTTTCCATCCATTGCACCACAACAGTTTGGAAAGTTCCATAATCTATAATAGTCTTCCATTATGTTATTCCATTCATGTTGACTTCCAGGAACCTGTAATAATAAAAGTGTCAACATTTTAATTACAGGATGCACCACAGACTCAAAATGAAGACTCTGCTGAATCTGAGCAGACTCAAGCTGGCAGTGAGGAACAGAAGACGCCAAATTCTGAGATTAGTAGGAATGGAAGTAGTGAACTGATGACTCCTTCATATTCTCGAAAGCCAACAAACAAGAAAAGGAAGATTGATATACCGATTGATAGAGCAATTAAAGAATTAAAAACTATAAGCGAGCAAGCCAAAGTCCAAACTGAAAATGAGTTTGATTTGTTTTGCAAAAGTTTGGCAGTACAACTCAAGAAAATGCCCTTGAACAGGGCTTTGATATGTCAGGAAAAACTTCAATCTGTGATGACTCAGGAACGGTTAACACAGATGTCACAATCATTTCCTGAAGTAATTTACTCGGACTCCAGCACTCCATCCCCATTTACTGTCAACCAGTCGCCTCTATACCAAAATACAACACCGGAGTATAATTATAGTAACTACCTTGTCACCGAACAAGTTTATACGCAACCACAACCAGTGCCTGTACCCGTGAGTTCACCACAAGAGACCAATCAAGTCATAATTGTCCAAACATCCACCCAAAAGCAAGAAAACATACTCTCACAAGCTCTAAAAAGTATTATGTAAATGTTGATTGTCTAAATTAAAATGTTTCAAGAAAATAACTTAATATTTTATTAAATAGATATAACTGACCTTAATAACCTTTCCAAGGGCTGTCCAAATGGCTTCACATACTTCTTGAAAAAAGTAGGATATTGTATTTCGAGGTACTCTGTACAAACCTGTAGCCAGGTATCTCAGTACAATTTGAAGTTTTATCCGGGTAGGTATGCTATCTCTCATTAAAGTGTTTTCTTTCGTTATTAACGGAGCAACAAGAAGTAGAAGTTCTTCAAATTTACTTTCATCCATTCGAAGATGATTACAATATGAATCAGGATCTTCAACGGCTAGTTCTCTCAACAATGTATTGGAAGCTCCTAATAAATTTCTTCTTGCAATCCATGGTCGCACCCACCACCGTCGACGTTTTCTATGCTTCTTTTTTGTCAACTCTGATTAAATGATCACAAATTAAACTAATTCCAAGACGTACGACTTCATTCGATGACATATTTAAAAGAAAGAACAATGAATGTTCATTTCTGTATCATTTCGTCTAAGCTGTGTGAACATAGAATGAAAAAAAAAATGAAGCATTCACTCGAGTGAACAATCATTTGAGTGAACCGTTTGATATCACCTTTAGAGTGCAGTATAATAATGCATTCCGCATAATTATGAAACTGCCTAAATACTGCAGTGCGTCGAGCATGTTTGCCAACGCCGGAGTGCCCGATTACTTCGCCGTTATTAGATCTCGGGTTGTAGCTATTTGGTCCCGCATCCGTGATTCCGAGAATGAGATCCTCAGGGTGTGCTACGAGTGCCCAGAGAATCCCATACTACAATATTGGCGTGCCGTGCATCGCGACAATAACTGTAAATAGATAGAACGAACTCCCTTTTTGGGGCAATTTTAGTATTTTTAGTATTAAGCTATGATTACAGTTGGATTGTCTTTTACGAGTATTTATCTTATTTATTGTATCCTTATAATTATATTTTCATTTTGTTTTTAACATTTATTGATATTTGTAATGGGTGTAAAAAAGCCTGATATGAATTACTATTATTATTATTATTATTAAATAGTTTAAAGTTCATTCTGCTCAGCATTTTAAAGGAACTCTATGGAGTAGGTTCTTTATTATAATTTAAGGTGACCCGTTCCCCGCATACTACTAATTATACGGTATACCTCGTAATTTATAGTAATTTAAGACCGAAGAAATAATTTATTCTTATTATTGATTCTTTAAAAAATACCCATGTGACATAGAAATAGAAAAACAGATTATTTAAAAACTGATTGATTGATAAAAAAATATATTATTAAATTTTAAATTGAAGAAATAAGTTACGTTTTATTTAATCATAACAGCCTTTGTTGATTTTAAATAAAGTCAATCTTTATTTATATTCTTTCACTATACAGACGCTATATTAAGGTACTTAGGTTTCGTCTTGTAGAGGAAACTGAATATGACTCTCAGCTTTATTCATTTTATAATACCGACCGTTTGGCCTAGTAGGTATAGCTAGCTATATTGCACCGCTGATTCTGATTTTAAAACCAGCCGCAGCCAACATTTGCGCCATAAAATAAATTTTTAGTTTTCTGATAAGGATGTATTACGATGTCTGTGATATAACTATTTGATAAGCGTATCATAGGAGTGTTGATAGGACAGAATGAGCAAATGATGTATAATATGAGAAAACTGATCGTTGAACATCTGCGTTAGTAGCAATGTAAGGGATATGAAAGTAGTCGTTTGAGTCAGAATTTAATGTTTTTGGACATTGCGTCACATTAAATAACTATCTTTGAATTATAATAGTATATACTTCTCCCCGTTTGACATAACAAGATAATTTTATCTCTTGTCAGTGGATATAATCGGGGGATAAAAATTTTGTCCCCAGCCCTAGCATGGGCATACCGGGCAGCAGAGATTACTTATGATGATACGTTTTCAGACAGTGACGATTCTGAAAATGATTTATCTTTGTCTGTGTTAGCAAAAAGAATACGCAATGCCAATGAATGCTTGCCAGAAGATTTGGATCAACAGATATCTTCTACTTCTTGCTCCACTCCATCTATAAGCTGCTCATCGAGGAACGTCACTCTTAGTGTAAGCAAAACCCAACAGTATACGTGGCGCAACAGACACAATCCAAGTGAATTTACACAGTACTACTATGAGTGTATGGTGAATGATGAAGTAATCGAAATTGGTACATTACTCTAATCTTTACGCAAGCCAAAGGAAATCTTTACGCAAGCCAAAGGAATGTCATCGCTAATATAACTACTTCAGAAATGAAGTGTTTTTTGAGTATACTTTTATACAGCGGTTATGTCGTGGTACCACGCAGGTATATGTATTGGGAGAAATCTTCTGATACTCACTTTGATGTTGTTTATAATGCCATGTCTAGGGATCGTTTCACAATGATAATGAAACACTTACATTGCTGTGACAACAATGTCATTCGTACAGATAGTGATAAATTTGCGAAACTTAGGCCTTTGTTTGATTTACTAAATAAAATTTTCTCAGACATGACACCTTTTGAACAAAACTATAGTATTGACGAAGCTATGGTACCATACTGTGGAGGCCATAGTTGCAAACAATTTATACGCGGGAAACCAATCCGATGGGGGTATAAACTGTGGATAGGTGCAACTAGCACCTACCCACAGTTGGGGTATGTTTTTGGTTTGACCCATACCAGGGACATTCTTCAAATATCCCAGTATGCTATAAACAATTTGGATTAGGGGCAAGTGTAATTTTGAGCTTTGCTGATGTTTTACAATCGTGCTACCCAAACACTCAATTTCATTCATTCTTTGATAATTTTTTCTTCTATCCCTCTTTTTCACGAATTAAGTAATAGAGGATTGAAAGCTACAGGAACTATTCGTGAGAATCGTACCTCTAGATGCCCACTACCTGAAAACAAGGTTTTCAAAAAAACAGAAAGGGGCACATTCGTCTATAAGTCTAGTCAACCCAAGCAGATCTTAGTCTGCAAATGGAATGACAATAGTGTCGTAAGTGTCGCCTCTAATGCGGAAACAATTGAGCCGCTTCACAAGGCAAGCGATTTTCTCAACAATTAAAAAGATATGTGTTTATTGATCAACCTTCTATCATAAAATCATACAACGAAAATATGGGTGGAGTCGATAGAACTAATCAAAATATTGGCTTATACAGAACTTCGATCCGGGGAAAAAAATGGTATTTTTCGTTATTTTGTCATAGCTTGGATATGGCTACCCACAATGCCTGGCAGTTGTACAAAAGTGATGGTGGCGAATACGACCACTTAACTTTTCGTAGAGTAGTTACCAGAGGATTATTGGAGACGTATAAAAGAACAGAAAAACGGAGACCTTGCCGTACTTCCAGCAACTATAGAGAAACCTCGCGATACGATCGCATTGATCATCTAATTGAATATGAAAAATCTCAAAGCCGCTGCACTATTTGTAAAAAAAAACAATTTCATTTGTCGTAAATGTCAGCTGTATTTAAACCCAAAAATATGTTTTATTTCCTATAATACCAAAGTTTAGATTCTTGGCAAATAAACCATTGTAAACATATGTTTTGTGTTTTATTTAATTCCAAAAATGTTTTACTTTTAATGTGTTACTTACTACCGGGCGTTATAACGCCACTCCTTTTCCGGCTTTTCCAGACCACGAATATTTTTTAAATATTTTTTCATGAATACTATATCGTTTTGGTACAACATATTAAAAAATCAGTTAATTCTGAAACAAAATAAAGTTTCAGTAATATCTGGGTTAATGACACGGATATGTTAATTTTAAATCCGAACAAAAACAGTTTCACTGTAAAGCATCGCGCCAAGTACACTTTCAACTATAGTTACAAAAATAATAATTACATTTTTACAAAAAATTATAAAATAAAAAGAAACCAAGTACATACCCGTTTTAGATTCGAAAAAAAATTTTGCTGAAAAAAGTAATAATAAAAAAATGGTGTACTTGGTGTGCATGATTAAGAGTATCGATCACCCAACTTGACATTGGAAGTCGTTTTTTTATTACTTTTTTGCGTGATGCTCGTACTATAAAGTACCTATAATGCACACCAAGTACATCATTTTTTTATTATTACTTTTTTCAGCAAAATTTTTTTTCGAATCTAAAACGGGTATGTATTTGGTTTCTTTTTATTTTATAATTTTTTGTAAAAATGTAATTATTATTTTAGTAACTATAGTTGAAAGTGTACTTGGCGCGATGCTTTACAGTGAAACTGTTTTTGTTCGGATATCATATCTTTTTGTAAAGTACACAATTTCTTTTTTTTTTTTGCAAGTATCGCACACCTCATACCGCGAAGCGGTTTAGGTTGTGCTTTAACTCTCAACACGTCAAGGTCCAGAAATTTTTTGCTCTTTAACTACCTCTACATCTACAACTGATTTGCACTCATACGATAATATGACTAGATTTATTTCAAGAAAATTTAATCAATCTATCTTATATTTTGTATAAATCAATTTTATTTTGCTACTTTAAGAAAACGGAATAAATAATTCCGTGGACGTCCGTATTGTTTTTACGTGGTCACGATAACTCTCGAAAACTTTGAGGTATCAAGACCGGGTTTTGTTTATTATTTTAAGAATTTTATTTCATAACAATAGTGGTTTTTTTTAATAAAAAAAGTCTCCAATGTAATGTAATGTCCTTCAATGTAACTTTGAATAAAACTCTATAATAACAATTAAATATATTTTTTTACAACTGTACCAGAGTATCCAAGTAGAGAAGTATCGTGTGGACATTCGGTAGAAACAGAAACAAAAACAGAAAATGAAACTTTTTTATTCAATATAGATTATATTATTTAGATTAGATTATACTTATTGAAAGTCACTCTTTTGTTTAATTTCCACTGGTTCGGAAAAAACCTCTGTCCTAGGAAGAACCAGCAAGAAACCTAGCGGGACTATTTTTTAAATAACATCTTACAATCATTTACACAATTAACAACACAACAATTTAGAAATAGCTTGGTAGTGATCAAATCATTCCCAGGGGTTATTGTCATCCATAAATTCCTTAATATTATAATAACCCTTTTTATACAAACTTAGTTTAATAAAATTTTTGAACTTTGTGCAGGTCAAATTTAGTATATTTTAAAAATTACAGTAGTTGTAAAAGCGTATACATCGCCCCAAGAATGAATTACTGACTCGGTGGAGTCGAGGAACTGGAACGTAATTAGACTAAGTATAATCTATTAGTAAGTCTGTGGTGTGAACTGTGAAGCAAAACTGTGGAATATATAGATTACATATATTTAACAAAAAAAAACTGTAATTGTCAATATTAGTTTGCATTTTAGCACATTTAATACTAAAGAAACCATGGGGACGAGAATCAATAAACTCTTTGAAGGCGGTGTTAGTGGATGCTTTAGCCCATTAACGTCTAATATAACTATCTAATATAACAAAAACGCAGATACAAATGTGTTTGTTAACATATAATGTATTAACCCTTTTACCTATATATTTAATAATCGTTTGATACACGGAAAAAAATTTAAACTTTTGGGTAACTTTGAATCGCTTAATGTTACCATGATAGTATTTTCTTAAGATGGGATAACTTTCAATGTTGCTACCAAAAGTTAAAAAGCTTATGTTCATATTTTTTTTATTTTGAGGTACAATGCCGCAAAAACCCTTTCAAGTTAAGCCTAATGTTAGAAAATATGGAACAAAAAGCAATTATACTCCAGAAAAATTGTAAGTGGCACTCATTAAAATTCGGTCAGATGCCATATCAAAGTTGGATGCTTCGAAATGCTTCGAAATATTATAAAATACTACCTGTAACTTTATATTATAAAGATACGAAAATATCGGAAGACTTGTTATATTTACCGCAGAAGAGAAAGGGAGCTCTCAGAATCGTTTATTATTATTGAGTAATAAATGCAATAAAAACCATCATCAGGCAGATACAGACGTATACATACTTAGCGGGTGTCGATAACTTTAAAGACTTATTAATCGGCTGCTGTGTTATTTTATACCAACTTTGATGTAAAATACCATTCATTTCTTTTCAAGAAATAGTATGCAGGCATTTTTTGAATTTGTTGGCCATCGTATTGATTTAACATTTAAATCATCTAATTCTATCCAAGCTGATTTGTTTTTTATTATTGCACTATAGCGATTTATTTCATTGTCTATATAATAACAAAATATAGCACTGATTACGCTGTATGAATTATCACAAAGAACTATTTTGGATGTTGGTACAGATTTTATGAAGCCAGTTTGTTTATTTTTATTTATTTTAGAGACAGAAATATTTAATGCGATTACTATTATTTGTTGACAGGAATTAAACGTGACTTTCCTATAAGTATTTTGTCCTTTCTGGCATTTGTTACAAAATTTTAAAGTATTAAACCAATGTCCATGTTGTTTATCGATTAATTCTTGTAAATTAAAAGCTTTAGTAGCATTCCCAACTTTGAGAGGTAAAATGTTATTAACTTCTTTAGACATGATTGTATAATTACAGGACTTACAACGATCAGTCTTTAATAGTTCGTATTGCACTAACTTACTAATGTCATAATTTTTACTGAATAAAGTAGAAAGTATTGCGAAAGGATTAGTTCCGTCATCTATATTTAAATGGTCATATATCTTCTCTTTTATCAAAGTAGACTTTAATATTGTTTTATTAATCGTATACATGTGGAATAATTTGCACAACTCTGTGCTGAGTGCAGTATTTTGATGTTCACTTTCTAATAATAATTGTATTATACTACTATGAAAAATGCACTGGAAAATAGAATTGATACAGCTAGAATTACCATCGCTATTTTCTATACCATGGAATTTGAAGAAATCAATACATGACTTTCTTTTAATTATATTTTGTTGTTTACTTTGATCGAAATATTTTTCAACTCCCCAAATTAAATCCCATACTTTAGACCAACGTCTTTTTGTAATTAAAAGGACTGGGAGATCAGCTCTATAAGTTTTTCTTAACCGATTATACTCTACAATTGCCTCTGTATTTGCTTTAATTGAATACGGATCGAAATTTATTAAATGTATTCCTTCAATTTTTGTTACTCGGGAGAATGCTACGTAAGATTGACCAGCATTAAAAATAGTATTGCCAGCTTCAATCACAGCATTTTTTAAACTTAAACCTTGACTTTTATGGATCGTAACAGCATAGCTCAAACATAACGGGAACTGTTCTCTTACGACAAAAGCTTTATCTGAAATTAAAAATTTTACTTTGATTCTTTCAATAGCATATTCTGTACCAGTTGCAAAATCTATATTAATAAACTGAATTTGATTACTCTCAATAGATTTGGAAATTGACTTCACAGTACCAATAGCACCATTGACTAAACCCAACGGTTGACAGCTCCGTGGCGCAGTGGCTTAGCAATGAGTTGCTGCGCTGGGGGGCGCGGGTTCGAATCCCGCACGGAACAAGTATTTGTATGGCCTACAAATGATTGTTCCGGGTCTGGATGTTTGTCCTTGTGAAATTTGTGTTTGTAAACTGCCTCCACGATACAGGAGAAAATCCTAGTGTGGGGGTAACGTTTTTTTAAAAAAAAAAAAAAAAAATGTAACGTCAATATTACGTCTTAACATTACTTTTACACCCACTTTTATTTTGATTATTTTTGGCAGTCCAGCGCTTCGGCTTGCATCTTCTTCAATCGAACTCAAAATATTAGCTGTTTTCTTTTTTAGAAATTTAGGATAATCTATATGATCATTGGCAGTAAGTACAATTTCTTCAGATTGAATCCTATCTAACATTACGGAATTAATTAAGTCACATTGATTACAGGTAGGTACTAAGCAAACTGTATCCGATGGTAGTTTGTTGATGTAATTACAAATTTCATTCAGTCTATCGTGATATGATAATGAACTATCGATATTAATTTTTCTTTTCTCTAATAACTTTATATCATCGGCAGTAACTGCTCCTATACGCATTCTAGACAATAACTCAGCATATGATTTATCAGCTTTCTGACGCATGTTTATAGTTAATTCTTCGTAATTAAATAAATCAGTCCATAAATTACTATAACTTAGAGATCCAACTAATTTTTCCACGTCTGAAGATGCTAAAATTTTGTACGTAGGATCTTCATGTACTGGAGGAAGTAGAAGTAAGTCACCAAAAACAATTATGTGTCGTCCTCCAAACCATTCATCATCATTAAATATGCTAACTAATCTTAGATGTATGTAAAGTAATGTTACATTAGAAATCATCGATATTTCATCAATAATAATTAAAGAAACATCTTTTAGTTGATCTCTTAGCATTTTTAAAGCGATATCTGATAATTGTGTATACTTCGGAGTAGAGCCATGTTCAACAGGCAACTGGAATACTCTATGTACCGTAAGGCCATCAATGTTAAAAGCGGCGATGCCTGTGGGAGCTGTTACAATTGTTTCCTGGTTTAGTTTTTCCTTCACCCAGCGTTTAATTACTTACGAGATTTAACTTTCGTTTCAACGAAACTTTTTCGTGAACTTACAGATTTTTGTACATCAGTAAATTTATACTCATCATTATTTGGATTACTCGATTTATTTTCAAATGATGCATCAACAGGTTCGATTGCACATTCTGGAGTCAAGCTATTATTATCAGAATTTGGGTTACATTCGGTTTTATGTAACTTTAGATTGTACTCCAATTTTATTGATTTTTTTTCTCTTAATGTTCGGTAGTAAAAAGCAATTTTTTCTTTTTTCCTAATTTCTTCCAAATCAGACAAATATAAGGTGTCGCTATTGATTTCTGGAAAATGACTAATTACTCGAGTTTGAAACATGTTTGATAAATGAGATCGCATGGAACTAAGATCATAAATAATATCATCAGGATTCCGTCTAAATAAAAGAGATACTGCAAAAGCAATAGCGAAAATCCCACAGTCATCTCCATTTACTTGAAATTGCACTTTAGGAAAAATGATCGATTCTGAACTTATCTCTAAATAAGGAAATAAATGCTGCAAAAATTTTTTTTGATCGTTATGCAATGACCCACTATTTAAAGAGTCATAAACATAAACTTTTTTGGTATCATTAAAAGAACAAACCCAATGCCCATTTTGACTAAATAATATTTGAATGTGCTTCTTTAATTTCGGTACTGGTTCTATTCTATCAGGTCTTACCAAATTTAGCGTATCGCGATGAACATAATCAGAACAGCTTTGAATGCAATAAAAACGCAAAATGGTCGATATCGTTATCGTCTAACATTAAATGTTGAATTATATTTCGGTAACCTAGTATGTCAACAGATGACATTATTAAATAGCAATTACTTTATGTAAACCAATGCAAATAATCAAGTTTATATAAGATCGGAGTAATATTAATAGTATCAGTGTACAAACAATAAGTGTGAAATGATTTTCTGTGCAAATTAACAACTGCTCCTGTATGCAGAAACTGAATACTTAAAATATGTAACCTGTAGCCTAATTGTTAGAGCAAACTACTCTTTAATATTAAAAAATCAAAGCTCAACTGCTGAATAATAGCAGAAATTATAAGACGACTGCTATTCAAAAGCAGACAATTAGAATGTGACTGCTGTCTAACAGCAGAAATTGTATATATCCTTAGGTATAGTTGAACACCATCCCTTGCTGAAAAAAATATGATTATTTCCCTCTGCCAAGGCATCGGATTTAAAAATCTTGTGCATTTATAAAACCTGTTTACGCAATCATTTATATCATTACATTACGTTGTTTGTTTGAGTGGGATGTCAGGAGGTTGACTACAGATTTGTAGTCTGAAAAATTACACGATTAGGAAAAACATCGATGTTTCTAACCGATACATCGGAATATGTCGATACACAGTCTCGATGCATTACATCGAAGAAAATCATCGATGTATTTTCAAAGTGGAAACCCCTAACCATAGAGAAATAAATATGTAGGCAATGACAAACTGACAAAATAGGGGTTTTAAGTTTCGTTCCAAGGTCACTTTGAACTATATTTCTAAATTAGCTAATATAAATACATTTAGAAAGATATACCACTGAAAACTTGTACTACTTAATCCTATTAAAACAAGTTTTCAGTGGTATCTCTTTACTAATAAATGAATGAATGAATATACTTTTATTGTACACCACGAACAAATATACAAACGTCATAACAAAATCAGATTATAATATGTACAATTTGGCGGCCTTATCGCTACATAGCGATCTCTTCCAGGCAACCAAAGGTGTAAAGTAATACAAACAATGAATAGGTAGGTGGTAGGTGGTGCAATATAAATATACAAATAATAAATGCAAAAAAAAAAAGATATAAATAACTAAGTAATACATGAAATAATATAAATTACTAACACATAATAAAAGATAAGGTAACACATATAATATATACATATACATACACATATACATACATATATACATACACACATATATATAAACATATATACATAAATATACACACAACACGTATATATCAATATATATATATATATATACAAAATTCCTCAAACAATAATATAAAACTGATAGATACAATAAATACATAATCACACAATCTATCCTAACGGTCTCCGAACGACTGAGACAAGTAATGCTCTTTAAGTAATCGCTTAAAGATAACAATAGTTTGTGCCTCACGTATATGCAAAGGTAGGGCATTCCAGAGCTTAATAGACTGGACAGTAAAAGATTTATTGAAAAATGATGTATTGTGAGTTGGCACACTTAAAATGAATTTTCTAGAAGAGCGTAAAGGTTCCCCCGGAAGCCCCACAAAATTAAACTTCTCCTTTAGATAGGGAGGAGTAGAAGGGTGAAATAATACACAGTACAGAATAGAAAGTATATGCATGTTCCGGCGAAGTCGGATAGGTAACCACTTGAGACGTGAGCGAAATTGGGAAATATGGTCAAATTTGCGCAATCCAAATATGAACCGAATACTAGTATTTTGAAGTCTCTCAAGCTTATTTAGCTGGTCCTCAGTTATGTCTACATAGCTTGCGTCAGCATAGTCGAGAATCGGAAGGAGAAGAGACTGTGCGAGCATAATTTTTGTAGGAATGGGAAGAAATGATCGAAGGCGACGCAGTGAACAAAGAGCGACAAAAGTTTTCTTACTTACCTCATTCAGTTGGCGTATCCAATTTAAGGAATTATCAATATAAATACCAAGATTTTTGACATTGTCAAAGTAAGGGATAACAACTCCATCGAATACGATAGGTGGTACAGAGAACCAGTCAATTCTTGAGATAAAGCTCTGGCTACCAATAATGATAGCCTGAGACTTTTTAGGATTGACATTTAGGCCATATGATTTACTCCACTCGTGTATAAAATTTAGATCCTTATTTAATGTAGCGATTGCATTCGGCAGATTCTCAAGAGTTGACTGGGTGTAAATCTGGACATCATCCGCATACATGTGGTAGAGAGAGGATATTTTATGAGTGATTGAATTAATGAAAATGGAAAAGAGTAAAGGTGACAACACGCCGCCCTGCGGCACGCCTGCAGTTATATCACACCAAGATGAGTGAGTTTCATCGACACGAATACACTGCCGACGGCCACAGAGATAACTTTGAAACCAGTCAATTACTGATGGAGATATGTTAAGGGAACATAACAGACTCAACAGTATATCGAAGTCAACAGTATTGAACGCATTACTGAAATCCAGCAAGGTCATGACTGTGAGTTGTTTATTATCCATACCCCACCGTATGTCATCAGTAACTTTGATTAAGGCAGTAGCCGTACTATGACCTGGACGGAAACCGGATTGTAAGGAATTCAATAAATTGTGCTTATTAAGGAAAAGGGTCAGCTGTTGGCAAATAAGTTTTTCAAGGACTTTAGAAAGGAAAGGTAAGATCGAGATGGGACGGAAATCAGAGAGGTTGACGGGATTAGATTTCTTTGGAAGGGGTATAATATGAGCACTCTTCCAGGCTTGAGGGAATTTAGAGGAAGAGACACAAGCATTGAGTAAATAAGTGATAATGGGAGTAATAACATCAAGGAGAGGAACAATCATATTACGGCTAATGTTGTCGCTACCGGCAGCATTTGAGGAGATGGATAATATGGTCTTCTTAACATCACATTCAGTAAACTGACTAAAAACGAACGGAGGATAATTAGGAGTCGGAATTACAGAAAGCGAACGAAGTGTTTGCAGTTTATGTTCGCTATCAAAAGAGTTAGAAGGATTAGAAAAATGTTGATTTAATAGTTCAAAATCAACACTAGGAGGTGAAGTATTTAGGGATGTTCTACCAACTCCAACTGTTTTGAGAAACTTCCACACCCTAGATGAGTCGCCGTTCTCGACTGATGT